AAAAAAACATTTTTGTGGCTTTCGTCATTATAAAGATTATTATTATTATTTCTGCGGTATCAGATTTTTCTAAATTAGAATTTTATTTGTGTTAAGAAAATGACGAGACAACAACAAAACCAAGCTAAAGTCATCAAAGATTTGCTGAGGGTTGTACAAGTTTTGCGTAGGCAACAAGCGTAGGCTGGACCCCAGAATGCAAATGCTAACAACATCAGTTCAATTGTGTAACAATTCCACCGCTACAAACCCCCAACCTTTGATGGCAAGGCAGACCCATTGGCAGCTGAGGAATGAATAAGAGGAATGGAGCGAATCTTCAAATATTCATGTCGATGCCCTATCAAAATTAGTAAGAAGTAAAGATTCTGAACTACTCACGGTGGTGCCCATAAAGCATCTTCCCAGACTCTCCACTAGCACTAGCGAAGTGATAATGTGGGTCGAATGAAGATACTCCCTTATGGATGAAGCCAATTATATCATCAAAGACCAAACACTACCCTCTAAAAAAGAAGAGGCCCAGAAGCTCAGAAGACGAGCTGCTCAATTCGCCTTCCAGGACGATATTCTATACAAACGTGGGTTCTCACTACCCTTGCTCCAATGCATTGGAGGAGAGTAAGCTAATTATGTGCTCCGAGAAATTCATGAAGGGATATGTAGGAACCACACAGGAGGATGGTCTTTGGCACAGAAAGTATTGAGGCAAGGATATTACTGGCCCATCTTGAAAAAGGATAGGCAGCAATTTGCCAAAAAATGTGATAAATGCTAATGCTTTGCAATTATTTAGAGACAACTTTCTCAAGAGCTAAAAATTGTATCCAGCCCCTGGCCATTTGCTAAATGAGAAATTGACCTTATAGGACCTCTTCCTAAAGAAAATTCAAGTTTCGCAATTGTCTCCATTGATTATTTCACCAAATGGGTAGAGGCCGACTCACTTACCAAGATCGCTGAAGCCAACACTTCCAAATTCATTTGTAGGTTCGGAATGCCCCCATTAAATTGTCTCAGACAATGGTCAACAGTTTGACAACAAGAAGGTTGGGAATTTATGTGAGGAACTGGATATTAAGAAACATTTTTCCTCCCCACATCATCCCCAAGAAAATGGGCAGGTAGATGTCGTCAACAAAACAATCAAGTACACATTGAAAAGAAAGTTGGATGCCTCTAAAGAGGACTGGATCAATGAGCTACCTCAAGTTCTTTGGGCCATCAGAACTACAAGCAGAACTGCTACAGGGGAGATCCCTTTCTCTATGGCCTACGGGGCAGAGGCTATGAGCCCAGTTAAAGTAAGTCTGCCATCTACTCGTCGAATTCACTTCAATGGGCTATCTAATGATGAGCTAAGGAGATGTGAGCTTGACCTCCTTGAAGAAATGAGGGATGCCTCTCAGGCAAAATTGACCATTTATCAATGGAAAATGACTAGATACTCTAATGCGAAAGTGAAAAAGAAGTCATTTCATCTGAATGAATTGGAACTCCAAATTGGCGTTTTTGTCCTCCAAAGAGCATGAGGCAGGAACCATTGGTCCAAATTGGGAAGGCCCCTATCGTATCAAGGAAGGGGTTAGGCCAAGAACCTACAAAATTGAAAATATGGATGGAAAGGTACAGACTCATCCATAGAATGTAGAAAATCTACGCAAATATTATCATTGATGATGTAAATATCTTGCATGTACAGTTCATGATTCAATAAAAGTGATTTTTATCAAAGTGCTCGTAAATTGAAATACCCCCAAGAGGCAAAAATCTTGGGGGAAGCCTCTGCATAGACAAACCGTCCCTATACAGAGAAGTGTGAGCACCTCGATGAAGAGCTGGATCCTAAAACGACCACCTCTAACTCACGAAGTGCTACACATGCCCTTAGCAACAAAAGTTGTTAAAGAAGCCTCAGTATGGGCGAACCGCTTAACCCCATGCTTAGGAAACAAAGTTCGCAATATAAAAATTAAATTAAATTTGCACAAGATCATTAAAAATAAAAAGTGCCTTATATTGATAAAGGTTAAAGGGAAAGTCTCTTCATAGATGACATGTCCCTATGAAGAGACGTGTGGGCACTTAAATGAGGAGCGGATCCAAAAATGGACAACATCTGCCCTCGCGAAGTGTGGCACATGCCCTTAACAACAAAGGTTGTTAGGGAAGCCTCAACATGGGCGAACCATTCAACCTCATTCAAGAAAGTTATTGATTATGGTAAGTTAAGAGTGTTTTTATTAAAGTGAGACCATCAAAAGATTAAAAAGTACCTCCTATTGAGAAAGCTCAAAGGAGAAGCCTTTTCATGGACGACCCATTCCTATGAACAGAAGCGTAGGCACTTCAACGAGAAGAGAATCTAAAAAAGGACCACATTTTCACTTACGAAGTGTGACACGTACCTTTAACAACAAAAGTTGTTAAGGACGCCTCAGCATGGCCGAACCGCTCAACCCCATGCTTAGGAAAAGAAAGGTAAGCGAATTGTCTATACTTGTGTTAATTATAAACAAAGTTTTAAACAAAAATCTGAAGCACTAAAGAGCCTCAGTTCATAAACATCTTTGTGCTTAAGTTCAAAAGCTTATTAAAGTACAAGACCCCCTAACACTTGTACAAAGTTGTAAGTTTAATTTTATTATTGAAGTTCGATGAGCTTTAGTTATGAAGCTTATTGTGGTACACGGCCTTCCGTGGTGCATAAGCTTGTTATTAAAGTCTGAAGTGGTTAAAGATCTTCAGTTTGATTCTGTTATTAAAGTTCAATATGCATAAGTTCGATGTTATCGTGAATTTGATGTTGTCATAAGTTTGATGTCACTTGTTACTTTAAGTTTAACATTATTGCTGAAGTACAAATGGTACGAAGCCCAGCCTTTAAGAAAAACTCACTAATGGCGACACATCCTAGCCTATGGTAGCAGGCTCGCTCATCAGGAGTTGGGGAGAAGAGCTCTATATCATAAAAGATCCTATACTACTCCCTAAGATTAACTAAATGGGACGGATCTACAGATAAGAGATTTTAGCTACCCACATGCTATATCAGTGTCACTCCACCCTCCCCAGATGGAAGAACACTCTGCCCAGCCTGTATGACCCTAACCAAGTCAGCGTTATTGGTGATTTGCAACCCCATCTCACCAGCCAGTTCACTCAAATCTATGTTACCCCCGGCAGAAGTAGAAGATGCCATTGATTAAAATCTTTTAAAGTTAAAAGTTCAAGATACTTACAAATTTTAGATAGAAGATGGTGATGGAGAAACACAAAAAAATGGTAGAAGGCAATAAAGAAAGAGAAGAGAAACCTGAAGATTCTTGAAGAAACTTAGAAAAAATTCGATATTTTGAAGAAGGTTAATGCTGAATTTTTGAAAAGCAAAGTGGTTTTTTGCCATAAGTGTTTGCATTTTATAGGCAAGCCTCTTAATTCGAGTCATTGGATGTCGATCCGGGTCATTTGACCATTTATTAATCTGAGCTTCTCAACACGTCTGCCGCTTCGTCTTCTGCAGCCTAGATCAGAGCGTCTGCTCTACGAGCTATCATGAGCCTGAAGTTCGCAAAGCGTGTGGGAGATAACCATCATTACACATTAAATGCGGCGATGGTTGCGTGTATGGAAAGTTGAACCGCTTCGTCTGCCTTTTCTTGAAAACGTTCCATGATAGCAAATCATTGTGCGCAATAATTTAGGATGCCTCATGTTCCTCAACCATATTAAAATCAAGCTTCATGGAATTATCAATTCTGAGGCCCAGTAAGGGTCAGACACACTCCTCCTTGACTAGTTCAGACAAAGCTTTGGATGTCCAAAGGCACTTCGGACAAGACAGTCTCAGAATTCTCCTGCTTTGCTGACCCTTCCTCGAATTGTTCCAAAAAGTGAAATACCTCTAAGTATAAGACTTCGGAAAACACTGGTAAGATGTCTGCACAAGTCAGATACATTTGAAATTCTAATTATAACATAAATGTTTATACTTAGACATGGGAGACTATTGTGGTGTGGTGAAAACCACCCCTACTAAATTTTTATGTATATTCAAATCCATACCTTACATAAATAATCATGCCTAGACTTGGAGGACTATTGTGGTGCAGTAAAAATACCCCTACTAAATTTTTATTTATATTCAAGTCTATGTATTATATAAATAATCATGCCTAGACTTGGAGGACTATTGTTACGCCTCGCCACAGAAGCTCAAAGTCAAAGTGCCACGTAAAAATCCACATGTGCAAAAAAGTCAACAGAGACCGAAGTGGTCAAATATAAAGAAATTATGTAAACTATCGAATCTCGTACCGAGGTAATGCCTCAACGGACGGAGCACTACAACTTGGGCTGAAACACTACCTAAAAAAACAAAGGAAGAAGCTGAAACTCTCCACTCAGAGGACCAATACAAAGACCCCTCCGAGGCTCTCAATTCATCCGAAGCTTATGAAACCGATGTTATTTTTTACAACATATTTGAATATCTTTTAGAAATAATTGATGTAACACTTATATTTGGAGATTAGGCCACGTGGTTTTGATCCAATAGACACCACGTCGGCCAAAGCACTATAAATAGGTCTTTTTGTAACTTAGAAAAAGATTAGAATTTTGGATTCTTAATTTGATATCTTGAACTCTTGAATATTGAATGAGTAGGAAATATTTACAAATACTTTTGAAAGCATTTTCACCTTCCATCATACACTCTTGGTGAATAAATTTCTTAATACACAATCTTACAATTTCTATTCATATTATCTTCTATCCTTTCACATATTCTAGTTAGATCTTTGGTTAGTTACTTTGGTTCTCGATTGGTGATCGTTGTTAGCGCGATCATCCTTGTTTTACATGCCGGAGCTTGAACATTGTCTCTTGCTGTAGAGCATCTCCCGCATTCACACCCTTCTCCTTTCTTACCTCTCCTCTGGTAGAAACGCACCAAAGCTTGCTTGGCTTGGCGAGAATGAGCCCGATATCTGTTGGCTCATTTTTCGGGGTCAACATATCATGTCATCTGGAAAACTTTTAGTTTGCTCATCACTATTCAAGGTATTGAATCTGAGAGAAAACCATCAAAAGACTTTTCTCCTCTAAAACTTTTTTTCGACTGCTATTTTATTCGATGTTGGTTTTTTTGGACCTAAGTAGCATAAAACCCATCTAGAAAATTCATCTGAGCGGACAAAATATTCAAGCTTCAAGTAACCATTTACGTGTCCACTTTCTTAAGCTTTTTGCCTGAAATTGCCATTTTAATGATGGGTTTCTTAAACCCTTTAACAAAATAGCCATCTTCATGGCTGGTTTCTTCAACCCTCAACCGAAAATAGTCATTTCCATGGTGGATTTCTTCAACCTTCTACCAGAAATTACCATTTTCATGACATGTTTCTTCAACCTTTTTATTGGATTTTGATCTCAGAAAATGATAAATGTCATCAAGTATAATATAATCAATAAATTGCAGAAAATAAAACACAAGAACACCAATAATTGTGGACCCAGTTCCGCTATACCTAACCTGGGGGGCTCAGCTACCGGCCCAATCCACTTTAGTGCACCAATAAACCTTCTAGAAAGAGTATTGTACAAATGAACCAAAATCCGACCAAGATTTTGGCCAAGAACTATCAACACTTTAAAAATCACATTTCAAAGCCACAAGAAACAATCCCTATCGCACTAATACAAACCGAACAGAAACCTAATCGACACAGCCCAAAAATAGAGTCAATGTTACTGTTACAAACACGAAGATACAAGTTTTCAAATCTTCAAAGACCAAAGAAATCATTCACAGTCGAGAGGGATGAGACTTTTCAGCGAGAGAGAAATAAGGGCCAAAACCAAAGAAGATTAAATTGAATATGATCACAGCCACTGCCTAACAAGTTTTGTTAAAATACTGAATATGATCACAGCCACTGATCATAATTGAATGGATCCTCCTAGATTAATTAGCACAATCTGAGCCTCTTCAAAATAGCCAATAAAAGATTACTACGTGGACCCAAATTAAAGAATTGTTATTTTGTGAAACACATTTTATCTTTCAATCTTCACCTTAGTTATCAAAATACAAACCCTCTCTACAATATGCTTAGAAGTGCACAAAACATGAAAGGGTCCATCATCATTGCCCAGTACCTGCAAAGAATTTAACGGTATCAATGTGTAGTAATGATAAGCAAATTCTAAACTAACCAACATAAAGTACTTTAGTACCCACATCAGGATTCTTATCGGCATGAATTTTTTCTAAATTAGCTTCACCTGAAGCAATTTTCTCTCATATGAAATGAACTTCAATGTGTTAAGACCTTTCATAATAAACATGATTCTTACTTAACAAAAGTTCATTCTACTATCAGAAAGCACAACAGTAGTATTGTGTCAAAAATTCAACTCATTCAGAATACCTTTCAACAATATACATTCCTTTATAGCTTCGAAAATAGCAACATATTCAACTTCAGTACTGGATAATGTTACTATTGACTGCAATTGTGATTCCCAGGTTATACAATTATCAGCTAGTGTAAAATAATATGTTGTAGATTTTTTTTGAACTTTATCACCGACAAAATCAACACCCATATAACTTTTTAGGATCAATTTATCTGATCTGTTAGTGTATTATTCTCAGATTTGAAGAGATGCCCTTCATCTTCAAGGATTCCCAAAGGTATGAGATTCATTTTTAGATTTGGGACATATCTCTCATTTTTTAATTGCCTGACAATACCATCATACATCTGGATGGCTATGTCCCCAACACCAATTACAGTCTATGAAATATTCACCTATATAAAACTTTCTAGGTTCAATTTCTCTTTAGTTGTAAAACCATTACCTAACTAGACACGGAGTATGTAAAGCCTGAATCCAAAATCCAGTCTCGGTTAATGTCTTCAAAAAACACAGTTATAACATTTAAGCTATCCAATTCATGACCAACAACTGCATTGTTCAATTCCACATTGTTTTGATCCTTTTACTTCTTTTTCCACTCAAAGCAATCCTTCTTAAAGTGTCCTAACTTCCCACAGCCATAGCACTTCTTGTTACTTTTATCACTTGATTTTAATCTCCATTTGGTCTTACTTTTACTCTTTCTATTCTGGAAATTGTTCTCTCTTTGTCACCCTTGCCTCTCACAAACATTCTTTCCTCTCTAGTGTTAGGCTTCGACTCTTTCCCAAATTCAAGATCTCTAGACTTTAAGGCATCAATTACAGTAGCCTGTATTAAAGTGTCTGTAGAGTACTTTATGGCGTTTATGACATCCTTATAGGATTTAGGCAATTAATTTAATAATATAACAGTCAAGTCCTCATCATCAAACTTCTTGTGATTATGTGCAAGACTCTTCACTATAATGCTAAAGTCGCTTAGATTTAGTTCCAAGTCTTTACTGGGATCCATCCTAAAACTAAACAACTCTTCCAACAAATAAATTATATTTGGCCAAGTTTTAGTTAGGAACAATTTATCAAGTACAGTCCACAAAGCTCTAATAGTTTTAGCACCATCAACTTGTCGAACAATATGATCGGATAAATGCTATATTATAGAACAATAAGCAATGTCATTCATTTCTTCAATTTCAATATGTTTAGTTTTCTAAGCATCAGAAAATGTTTCAGGATCAAGGACTTTTGCAACCCTTTGTCGGACTAATATCGCTCTCATTTTCTGCTTCCAAACTGAGTAATACCCCTCTCCATCGAATTGTAATAGTTCGAACCTCAAAACCATAACAGATTCTGTAAAAGATGGTATAAACTGGAGGCCATGTGGTAATCTTATTTTCAGATTCCTAAATAAGCAAAAAATGTTTTGAAAAACAATTTTAGTTTTACAAATTGCAGTCAAGAAACAATTTCAAAAAATTGATCAAGTCAGGAGAATGGCAAATTTTAGTGAATAGGTATGCTATAGGCATATGTAACGATCAGCAATGACTAATTATTCTCTAATTAACAGTTATGCAGTCAAATCCATAACATCTATCAATCTAAGCATACATATACAGCTATAACATGCATTTATAGTGATTAGAAATTCTGAATTTGAACGATCTCATCAAGAACTGTTGACTAACAGTTTTAATACTCAGAATGCCACAACTGAAGACAAGCATTTGAATGCCAATCTCCAAAACCAGATTTCTTAATGAAAAACTCTGAAAAAATAGCCAAGCCACAAAATTATCAGCTAATTAATTCAACTACAGAGTAACGTATAATACTTGTACAAAGATTATTCCAAAATTTGAGTAAAAAACTTAATTATTTCAGATCCTATAGAAAACCAAATCTGCAGGGATTCAAAAGATTTTGTAGAAATCAAATTTTGAGGTCCGCATGGATTCAAAAGATTTTGTAGAAATCAAATTTTGACTCAAAATTTTCCAAAATAATATCCCCCCAGAAGCCTAACAAGGCTCTGATACTAGTTGTTGGGATTTTGATCCCAGAAAATGATAAAAATCAGCAAGTATAAATGATAAATTATAGAAAATAAGACACAAGAACACCAATAATTGTTGACCCAGTTCGGCTATGCCTAATTTGGGACTCAACTACCAGCACAATCCACAAAGTGCACCAATCAACCTTCCAAAGAAGAATATTGTACAAAGGAACCAAAATCAGATTTTGGCCAAGAACTGTCAACAATTTACAAATCAGATTAAAAATCTACAAGAATCAATCCCTATTGTACTAATACAAACTAAACAGAAACCTAGTCGACACAGCCCAAAAAAGACTCGATGTTACTGTTACAAACACGAAAATACAAGTTTTCAGACCAAAGAAATCATTCACAGTCGAGAGGGATGAAACTTTTCAGCGAGAGAGAACCAAGAGCCAAAATCAGAGAATAATGAATCGAGAATATGCCAAAAGTCACTAACAAACAAGTTTTGTTAAAACACTTAATATGATCATAGCCGTTGATCATAATCGAACAACTCACATTTTAGATATAAAGTAGCACAATCCGAGCCTCTTCAAAACAACCAATAAAAGACTCTCATGTGGACCCAGCTTAAATAATTTTTATTGTGACACACGTTTTATCTTTCACTTATTCTTTTTTCCTGGTTTTTCCCTTTCAGCGTGGAAAAATTCATTTATAAGAACAACAAAAAAATCCGTTCAACTCGATACTCTCGTAGCCCCACTTTGAATGGGACGGAGATTATCCGTCTAACCGAGTAAACGGGACGGGGTC